GCCGCTGAGCCCCGGCCGGCGCCCGGCAGCAGGGGCGGGGCGCACCCTACCGTACTCTCTGGAGTAGCCGCTCACCCGGCGCAGCGCTCGCGGCCGGAGGAACTGGAGCGCGGCTGCTTCGCGCGAAGCCCGATGCCGGCGAATTAATGCCAATCGTCGCCTCTCCCCGCGGGAGGAGGCTGGGCTTCGCGGTGCGCGCTGCGTTACCCAAAGGTACCTCACGCTTACAAGCTCATAAAGTTCTGCTCGTGTCAGGGTTCGGTGCAGCGAGGGGCGCGTGTGGATGGACGAGCGGGGGGGAGGTGAGCGGGGACGCGGGCTGTGATTCACCTCCGAGGAACGGGCGGCTGCTGCGGGCGTCCCACAGCCCGGCTGCCCGTCCCTTGGCTGCTGGATTGTATCGGGACCGGCTGCAGAACGGCGAAGGTCTACGAGCATTGAGATGCTGGGACTTCGGTACGCCTTTTCATCTCTTTTCTCCTCCCTTCGTGGCTGATGTTCAGCGTCTGATCGCGGAATCGTTTGAGTTGGAAAGCACTTTTAAATGTCATCTCACCCAACTGCCCCACAGCGGACAGCAGCGGTCAGCCTGACAGCGAATGCCCGCAGGGCGCTCCCAAATACATTCTAATAGCCGGCCTCGCAAAATCCCGTGGCGCTGAGGTCACCGAGTTCCCCTCGCCGAGCTGTAGGCTGGGCGGCAGGCTGGTTCAGGCGCGGCAGCCAAGAGCACCGGCACACGCTGCCGTGCACGGGGAGAACAGCTCGGGTACCGCCCTGTCCGCGGGATGCGTAGGGTTGGGCCGTGTGATTTTTTTCCACACATCATATCTGTGTGACTCGGCACTCATCCCCGCATGGCTGATGGAGGTCAGACACCTCGCTCCCTGCCGCCGCTGGTTTCATAAAGTCTCTACTCGAAACCCCTCAAGCCCACGCGCAGCGCGGCCAAATCCCCCTCGCGCAGCGTGAGGCACAACCGCGCGCCGCTCCCGCCGTTCACTGCGGGCGGGCGGCCCTCGGGGCGGAGCCCTTCCCGCGCATGCGCGCCGCCCGCCTCGGCCCCACATAGGCGCGGTGAGAGGCGCGCGGGCTGTGAGCGCTGCGCGGCCGGGGCGGGAGGGCGCGGAGCAGAACTGCGAGCGGAAGCTCGGAGCTCCCGGCTGGAGCGCTGAGCTGCGGCCTCCGCGTTTGTCCGGTGAGTAAGCGGTGGGGCGGTTTGTGGCTCCCTCTCGTGTGCTCCGTATCTGGGGCCCCGAGATCGGGCGCAGCCCTCGTGCCGCGGGTCGGTGCGGTGTGCTCGCTGTGTGCTGCTGGCTTTCGCTGTGAGGTGTTGGTTTATGGTCAGCTCCCTGCGGAGTTTGAAACAGAATTTACGGAAGCTGACGTTCTGGGGCTGGATGTGATGTGCTTGTAATGAGTGTAATTAATTCCATGTGCTCCAAATGTTTCTGTTTGTTGACGTAAAATTGTTTTCTTGCGGTGCAGCAAGGTGATACCTTCAGGTCATCCGTGGGAATGCATTTTTTTATTGTGCTCTTCTCATAAATATTTTCCCCTTGACTCTGCAGGAATCAGAAATGGCCTTAGAGAGTCCTCAGACACGCTTCTTAGTGCTATAAAGCAGCAGCTGCAATAATCTTTTCCTGTTCCCCTCTTTTATAGGGTTGTATTCCTGGTGGCAGGTTCTCCTGTGCTGGATTCATCATGATAACCCCAGATTTTGAGCTGAGCCAGGATCCAGATTTTCTTACAATAATCATCAGAGTGCCTTATGCAAGAGTGTCAGAGCTTGACTTGTTCTTTGAAGGGGAAGACTTCAAGTTTTATGTGAAGCCTTACTTTCTTAGGTGAGTAGTGAAAGCATTTCAAAGCCATTGGACTTCATAAAATAAATGTTGGTAGAAAGTACCTTTGTTTTGGATCCTTCTTGAATGATCCTTGTCTATTGCTCTCATGCTGTAGGCTGCACACAGCCTGTTTTCTGCATGGAATTGTTTCTATGGATCTGGTATATTTGTTTCCAGGTGTTAAGTCACCTTAAAATTTATAAACTTAAAAAACTAACTTTTTACTTTTATGTGAACTTTGATTTTTAGTAATGAACTGGCAGCTGAATTCTTTGAATGCACTGAAGTCTTACAGGGTGTGTCTCTTCCCCATTGAGAGTCAGATACAATATATTTTGTGAAGGAAGAATCTGATACACTCCTGATAAATCCATGTGGTGTAGATGCTAGGGAATGATGTTCCTAGCTTTGTCTTTTAGCAAGTTCATTGCTGTGCTACAGGAATGGAATGATCATTAGCTCAGTATGGAAATTTCGAGAGAACCTTTTGTCTGTAAGAGCTGGTGAGCCATTAACCCTTCTTATTTTCTATTTCCTGTTTTGTTGGGTGTACTTCTATAAATATATTAGTAGACTCAAAGGGTTTTATGAGTTTAGTGGAAAGCTCTGAGTTGGCTGTCTCATGTCCTGTCACTATGAAATTAATTTAGAGTTTTTAAAACAGAATCTTCCAAATGCTGCAGATAGAGCCAAGGGTGTTGTGTCTGTGCTGGCTGTGACTTTGTCATTGATTTAGAGCCACAGAGAGATTTTTACTTCATAACTTCCATTATTACTAACAGGAATCATATAGTTATTTGTGCTGCCTTTGGAATGTGCCTTACATTTTTATGTGCTGAAATATGAGGTTGCAGAATTAGTTAGGCATTCAATGAGACATCTTTTTTTTTTTTCATCCAGACTGACACTTCCTGGAAGAGTTGTGGAAAACGGCAGAGAAAAGGCATCTTATGATACAGACAAAGGTATCATTTACTATTTTTAGTATAGTTGTCTTGAAGAATACTCTTCACTTGTTCTGTGCATTTTCACTGCAAGAAACCTTTAGCAAAGTGTGTGATCCTGTAAATAAGCCTAACTTCTCCTATGCTACGTGGTATTAAAAGAAAAAGAAACTTGCTGAGGATTTGTTGTATGTAGGCTATCATTAAGCTCAAATGACATGCAGCTGTCTTAATCATGAAATGGTTCAAGCCCATTGGAGGCAAGCATGCCATTGTTAAAACATGTAAAATCTTCCAAGTCTGTGAAGAAGAGTAGCAGTAAGCATAAGTGAGATAGTCCTGAGGCATTCTCTTCTCTAAGATTTAAGAGAGAACACTTCAGCCACACTGGTGGAAAGTGTTTCTGGAATAAAGCACCTTTTGAGACAAGTGTATTCATAAACAAAAAGGCCTGCAAAGCCTTTGTTTCATATTTGAAACAATAATCAGAAGGTTGAATAGCTTCCTATAGCCATCTGCTGAGGACAATCCATTGAAGTTTGTTTCTGTTGGTTGTGTGGGTGCTCACAGTTCGTTAAATAATCTCTTTCATGCTGTAATATCCTTGATTTTTGTGAAATTTGTTATGGAAGTTTAAAAACCTGCGTGCAGATTTATGCATAATAAGGTGCATAATAAATTGCTACTTGCATGTATCTCAATTTCCGTGAGCAAATTTCAATAGAGGGGAAAATGAGCATTTTTGTTTGTCTTGATTATTTTAATGTGATAATAACTATGTTCTGCCTTTACTATATAAGGGACTTTTACAATTCAGTTACCTAAGGAGAGTCCTGGGCAGTATTTTGAAGGACTGGACATGCTGACATCTCTTTTAGCACCGAAGAAATCAAGGACAGCAAAGCCTTTAGTGGAGGAGATAGGTACGACAAAAACTTATGCTATCAGTATAGGTACAAAATGAAATAGCTATGGAAATAGATCTCCCTAGTAATTAATAAAAAGTGTAATTCTGATATTGTCTAGACCAAGGTAGAAGCAGAGTTTGAATGAATCTGGAATTATTGTGGATTATTGAAAGGAATGTCTTGTAAGAGTTGGTGCATGTTCTATCTGTAGGCTTAGTTATGATAACTGTTTTTCAAAATGTGTTTAACATATGCTAATCCTCTGCAGATCTTTGTACCCCTCTAGTGGCTGTATGATAAACACAATGTGAATCTTCTGCAAGATAGCACAACTGGCTCTAAGGGCAGAAGCTAATTAAAACCACACATTCTAGTGGATGACTTGATTAACATAAGTACTTTTCAGAAAATGTGACTATGTTTAATTTTGTGGGTATCTGCCTTACATCATGGATAACTTAATTATGTTCCTCTTGTGGTTCTCTTAGAATAAAATCCAAATCTTGTTGAAATCACTGGAACAATTGTTTTAGACATTAAGCATGTACACTCAAAGCTTTAGTTTTCCTGGTCTCTATTCTTGAAAATCTTTGAATTCTAGAGCAGGACCTGTGGCTCACTGATGTGTGCATCTGTTCACTTAAACACTTGAGGAACCTGTGATTTTTTTTTTTTTTTCTGTAGTTCACCAAACTCTTTTGTAATAGCAGCAGTCTAGTCCAACAGTCCAATGTGAACATGCAGGCTTGTGCCACCCTTCAGGGTTAGGATGGAATTGGAAGATGAGGCTTGTGTGTTCAAGCAGTGACATTTTGCATGTTACAGGTGGTAAAAGTTACACTTTTGGCAAGGCTGCCCTTTGCAGAGGGGGGCAGCAAAGGTCCAACAACTCTGAACGTCCATGGTTGGAAATTCGAGTGTTGCACCAATGGAGGAAATGTATTTGGCTTCCTGCATTCTTACTTTGAATAAAGTCTGTTAGAGCTGATTTGCCTTCAGAATGCCTGGTTTACTGCATCGGGGAATTCTCAGGTTATTCTCACTCGACTAGATAAGATAAAATGGATTTGAAGTTGTGTGGTTCATGTTTTACTTCTTTTCCCCTTCTGTTTTCTTTAAGTTATAGTTAGTCAAGTGTTGCAAGAGTTTTCTTAAAAGATGAAATAAAAAATGCTTATTTTGTTATCAGTGTTTGCCTTCCTTTAAATCATATGTATTCCTTCCGTGAGTTTTCTTTCTCTGATCATGCAATGTACCCAGGTGTTCCTGCTGATTTGGAGGAGGAGGAAGAATTTGACTGGGAAGTAGAGCAGACCCTTCATAAAGAAGCTTCAGAAGGCCCTCTGTCACTGCAGTGCTACTATGGATTTGGGAATCTGCGCTCAGGGGTGTTCCAGCGGCTGCAGGTAGATGCATGCCTTTTTTTCCTGTCATAAAAGTTCCAAGTACCTTCCTCTTTGGGTGGCCTTCCTGGGTCATTCTGTAGCCAGAAGGAGATTGTTAGGTACCAATTCTTCTCCTTTGCCCAGTTCTCAGTATATTTCTTTCATGGATTAGTTGGTAGAACAGGATCTTCAAAACGTCCTTACTTTGTCCCTGTATGTTCAGCTGTTCATTTTCTTTGTAAACAGACAAAAGCTAATCTACAACCAGTAACATGCTAGGTAGGGTAATTTTCATAGCATACAGAGCATTTATTGAAGTAGTGGATTATATTTCTTTAATTTTCTACTTAAATTCTTTCACCAAGTGATTGAAGAAGTAGCCATTTAAAACAAATTGTATAACTTTGTAAATCATCACTGCATGAATTGTAATCACTTAAGGTCTGAGGGCAGAATGATTGCTGTGTAGAGAAAGTATTTGTATTCTGTTAGGATATATACACTGGCTTAATACTGTGAAATTTCTGAAGCAGTCAATTTCTCATCAGCATTAGTGTACCTCTACGTCCTGGTGTTCCAAAGGCACTGCAATTGCCTGTTGATTAATGTGTGGCCACTTCAGAGTGGAGAAGTCGTAAGAGCAATATTTGATTTTTTTTTTTTTTAAATCTCTTTGTGGTTGTGTATTTTTGCTAAACAGTACAGTTTTCATAGTAGTGTGAAATAACCTGGCTGCCTTATGGTAAATAAACCTGAATATAATTCATAACATTTGAAGGTGCCTTAGAATTGGTGATAATTGCCACTGCTTGAAGCCTTGATGTTTAGTTGTACAACAGAGAATGAATTTGAAAGATATGACAGGAAAATCAAGCATCCTTCCTAAACTTTTACTAAAGAAATCTTGCTCAGTTGATCTGTGGCTTTATCACCTCCCTTTTGTTGCACCAAGGATGAACTTGGTGATGTTATAGATGTTAAGGATCCAGACCAAACTCCAACAGATGAACGTAGGATGAAGCGCCTAGAAGCTGAAGCTGCCAAGTTTGATCCTGATCATTACCTGTGAGTACTGATTTATTTCACCTGGTAAAAAATACTTCAGTTGATATGTATTTGCCTTCCCTATGGATGCTTGGGTTTAAAATCACTTTTGGAAATAATAACTTCACTTTTCATCTGCCTTTGTCTCCTTAGACTGGGCGATGTGGGATAGTCAAAGTGTGACATTGACGCAAGGCATTCTTTCTTGTTTTGAGGTTACTCTGTTGCTTAATTAAGCTTGGAAGTCAGTTGGTACTCAAGCAGGTCTGCTGTGGACTGTGACTTCAAGGAGAATCTGCAAGCTAATATGTATATATTTGAGACACCTAAGGAAGGCATTAAAAAATCAGTGTGAGGATAAACCAAACTGCAGTCTGTGTTCAGTAGTTTAGGCATCTTTTGGTATGATAAAGTATTAAGAAATGTGTTTTTTCTCTATTCTCAGTATTTATACTATAGTTTGACTTGAAGAGAAAGCTGGAATGATAAGAGGAGGCTTAGAACTTAAATCCTTTAATATAAATCCTTGCAGACTTAATATATTGATATTTTACTACTACTGCTTTGTGCTGGGATGTGCCTCTTCCATAATTAACATACAACACTTCCTTTTCCACCTTGCAAAGGCATGTGTTTGTTTATTTAAAAGTCAGTCCTTATCTCTGCTTTCTTTGCTCTTTAGCCACACACCATTTCTCTCCAAAGCATACTTGCTTTGAAAATGAGCAAACTTACCAATAAAGTCAAGTTTGCTGCTGGTGTGGCGCTCTATGAGACATAGTCTTCTCTTTGGAGTGACATCTCTTAAGGTTAAGGAACAGATGGTGATCAGGTTTGTTCTTATTTTTTAGAGTTGTATGTGTAAGTTCTGGAAAGCACCCTGGAGCAAAGTTAAGTATATACTGTGTGTGCATTGATATATACTCACATGGAGTTACCTTTTCTAACCCAGAGCTGACTTCTTTGAAGATGAAGCTGTTCAGCACGTCTTGAAGTACAAACCATGGTGGGTTGGTGCTCATGAGAAAGTGATGGCCTTGCAGGGGGAAAGTAGTCAGAGTGACAGTCCTACATCTGGTGAGAACACTATACATTTATCTGTTACTGCTGTGGAGCCTTGTTATGTTCTAGGTTATCATTCTTCGAGGAAAAAAAGTGTGATTTTGCTCTACAATCTTGAGTCTAGAAGAAAAGCATCCTGTTACTATCCTTCTGCTTTTTGAGGGACATTTATATACTGAAGTATTTAGTTCGTGGTGTAGTGTGATCTCTTTGGTGTCTGTAATAAGTTTTGGAGTGAGCTGTTGTTAGAGGCCATTTTAGAGTTTCATATCTTTATGGAAGAAAGTGCCTTTCAAGAGTATGCTGTGAGCCTCAAAACTTCAGAGGAGCTGCCAGGGTCAGCAAGTTGTGGCATCTGAACACAAATCAGATTTGTCTTTCTGCTCACAGATGAGTCAACAAACGTTCCTGCTGCTTGTCCCACTCTCCACTTTTTTCTTTTAATCCAGACTTTAAGTGGTTGTTCCTTTCCTAGTTGTGTTTTCAAAAGAATAGTAGTTTGAACTGGTATTTGTGCCCACTTGTAAGTATGGTGTAGACACTTGACAATGAGTTTGAGAATCAGCTGTGGATGATTGATTGAACTGTTATCAGCCTTTATCTCTATTTGATGAGTGTCTGTAGAATACTTCATTTCATTTACACAGTGTCACAGATGTTCATGGTACTTATATTGTACTGCTGTTTTTATGGCTCCTAGTGCTTTGTCAAGGGAAAAATGGGTTGGTTTCAGGCTTAGCAGATGACCTTGTAACAGTACTGTTAACAGAGCACAGATAACCTTTCTGAACACAATGATTGCAGAGAGTATTCTAAGTTACTATGCACATTCTTTTATTCTCCTTTGCTCATTTCCTCCACAGTATGAAAACACTGTTTCTGAGGTTGATAATGATAATCTGGTTAGCAGAGGTGCTGTAACAGATATGATATTAGTCCACTAATAATACCTGCACTTTCACATTCCCTATGAGAGTATAACAAAGGAATTTAAGTTCCTTGTATTTTACTGTGAATGTAATCTGATCTTCATTTCTGATCTCTTCAGTCTTTGAATCCAGAAATTAATTATATCTGTCATAAGCATGTAGTTTAGAAAGCGTTGGACAATGGTACTAGAGGCTTGAAAACAGAACAGCAAGGAGTTCTTTTGTTTGTTTTTAATCCATTCACTCCTTTAGTAAGTGAAATATTCATCACATTTGTCTGTGCCAAGGGATTTAAGAAAAATGAAGAGCTGCTGGATGGTTTTATTGATAAAGACTATTCCTTTTATTCCAAATCAAAGTTCTGAAGGAAAAACACGTGCACAGATTTTGGACTTCTGGGGCAGCAGCAATAATAGAGAAAGTGCACAGAAACCTGGCAAGCCTACTGATGAAGGTTAGACAGAAACTGGGGCTATGCAGAGGGTTACTTTTTCTCTAAATGATTTGTTAAAACCAACTTCTTTCCATGATAAAGTTGACTAAAAAACTTTGTGTGACCTTCATGTTGCAGAGCCTTTTGTGGTTTTGGAGATCTTGAGTAAATTTAGCAGGAGTGACCATCTGTCTTTGGGTTGCAAAATAACAATCTCCATAAGCCCTCCCATGCCCCTCAACTTAGACCTCAGTTCTGATAACATTGTTTGAATGGTAGCAGCAGACTGATGGCAAGCAGCAAGTAAGGACCTGAAACCATTGGAGGTTCTTAAACCCGAATGAGTTGTGGTGAGAGAAATGGCCATGAGAGGGAGTACAGGTTCCACTCAAAGTGCCCTTATGTGGAGATAAAGGCAAGAGGGGGCCCAGCCTGTTTGTTCTGGGATCTGATGAAGAATAGGGTGGGTTCCAGGTGTTCTTGTATTGTTTTTACGCTTCATTGCTGGAGCAATCTTGCATTATATCCCTTAGAACTGGGGAGAAATCTGAGTGTATTAAGCCAAGGTTGTTACATGCCTGAAAGGATAAGGAGGCTGTTGCTGGTGGTAGTGTGTGCTTGGAGTAAGAAGCCTTTGAACACTAGAGCTCAGCTATGAAGTGCGAAACAGGAGCTGCATACTGCAGTGTGTAAGATGTGTTATTGAAGTGACATGTAGTGATTCTTTGAGCCTGTTTAATTACTCACCTGCTAAGTGTCAGGTCAAACTTCTGTAATAACCAGAGGACTACTGCATCTGATTGTGTTTATATCTGTTGTGAGGATGTGGAGGAGGAAAAAAACAAAGCCTTCATACGGTAAGGAGTGCCTAGGTTTAGTCTTTGTCTTTAGTCTTTAGGCTGCTCTTGGTGCTGCTTTTGCAGTATCCCCACAGCAGAAGGGCTCTAGAGGTCTCAAGTATCTGCCTCCTTCAAGTTCTGTGAAAATGGCCCCACAAACAGCAGAACAAGTACCTTCATTAAATCTTCCCTGCCATCTTCTAGATATTGCAGAATTCTTGAAGGAAAGAGATGTTATCAGTGTGTCAGCACTGCAGGAAGTTGGTGACCTTTCATACCTAATCAGGAAGTGAACTGTTGGAGCACAAGGGACAAATCAATAGAAAATCTGCTTTGTTTGTTCTGTTACTCACAGGTTTAAGTTTACAATGATTTAAGGCAGCATCCAACGCTGGGATGTGTTGGATTGCTTGTCCTAAATAAAGTCCCTTAGCATCTTTCTAGTCAGAGCAGTGATGCCTGTTTTCTTTTCATATCTTGGCAAGAGCTTGAGGAAGAAACATGTTTGCTACTGATTAAAATCAAAAACTGACTTGATTCCTGGTTTATGTACTTTCTACTGGCTAATCTTCCCCTATACCTAGTGCTGCCAGTTTCTGACCAGCAGAAAAGTACTCATGTAAAATCTTAGTACTGTGGCACAGCGTTTTAGTTAGAAGTTGCTGAGCTCTAAATGTTAAGTTTCCTTTGAGCAAGTTATGGAATGTAACACTTGGCCTGACAAGCCCCATGAGCAAGGCTGTGCTTCTGCTGGATGGCTGGACAAGCTGATTTTCAGATGTCCTTTCTGACCTAAAGTTTCTGTGGTTCTAGGAGGCTGAGCACTCAGTTGGCTCCTTCTAGGGAGCATGTTTCATCTGAGTACCCCTAACATTTACAGTGGTGAGTTTCACAGCAGTCTTGAGCTGCATGTGTTACATTGGACTGATTGCTGAATACCCCAAACCTTACCTAGAATTTAGGTGATGTGATCTTTATAAAATTTCACCCTACTGTAACAAAACAGCCTGTGAGTGTCAGAGCTGCTCACCTTGCTTAGAGATTAGGTTGTACTTCACTGACAGTTGGGTTCTGTCAGTGAGGAATGGCTTACACAAAATAAGAAAACAAAGTACATAGTGAGTAAGGGTGATCTTGGTAGTATTGTCTAATGGTAAGTTTATGGTATTAATTTGTATGATTCCTTTTTACATCCATGAATGAACATGCAGTTATGCTGTTGCAGGAAGATGTGTGGTTTAGGAACCAACAAATGTACAAATTATTTTTAAAATCAAACTTAAGAAAATCTGCAGACTTAAGATTTCAGATGCTGCTTTTCACATTATTGCTTTAATTGTTGTGGAGGTGTTGTTAGATAAAGCATTGGTAATTCCAGTGTACAAAATACAGGCTTAACATAGCAGTGCAGTAATTATGATTTTACTTGTTCTGATAATCTCCTGCTATGCACTTTTATTTTTGAAATGTGAAAACAAAGTAGGTGGTGATTTTGACATGTTAATAATTAGTTCCAGGCCTGGATAATTTATTTCTCAATCTTTGAGGAATGGATAGATCTTTGTTTGTAAACTTGAATTATTTTCCCTGGAGATTTATTTTATTAAGAACACCTGGTGCTTTGCAGTAAGCTAACGAACATCTTGTCATGTTTACCTTTGGGAGTTGTCTGATTTTACATCTTTGCTCTTGTCTAGTAGACTTGTTTTCAGCTGTTATGGTCCAGTTGTATACATTGCAATGCTTCAGAGTTTGTGTTCAAAGGAGAAAAAGCTCTTTCATGAGAGGGATTTCATGAAATTCACTAAACTGAGTTTGTGTTTTCTACTTAAGTGTGGTTCACGTGTATGTATTCCTCTGGAGTAGAGATTTTAGGAAATCTAAGATTTTTGTAATGGAGTGCAAGTTATGGCCTGAAACAGTGATTGAGCACCTGGTGGGAAGGCAGGGCCAACCCAGGGGAGCTCAGCTGCATGCAATGTACCTGAGTGATGGAAGGGATGGAGCCAGGATGCACCCCTTCCCAGACCTCATTTAAGGGTTGGCAGTGGAGGCAAGGGGATTTTGCTGGAGGTCCCTGTGTGCCTGAGGCCTTCTGAAGGTAAGCAGATGCTTTCCTTTATTTCTGTGCCCTCGGCTGTTGTGTTTAAGTAAATCCTCACTTGCTGCAGCCTTGGACCTTGCTGCTCTGCTGTCGTTGCTGTGCTTTCCATTGTGTTACAGATTTGATAGTAGAACATTTAAGCATGTCTTTGCTCTCAGCACTGGGCTGTTTCTTAACTGATGATTGTTATCACACGGGTTGATTTTGATGAGCATCTATGAGACTAACTTCCACCTGAAAGACACTGATTAAGAGCAGTGCTATGTGGGTTCTCAGTGGCTTATCCAATTCTGAACATAATGGTATGATGTGGAGAAGAACAGTAGTTGCATTCCTGGTATGTGTACATCTTGACTGTTAACTGCAGAAAGCAGGTTGAGTTGAACTGGAGCCATGCGAGCCCTGGGTAACTGCTCTGCATTCATCAGAAGTCCTGTTGTCTGAGATAGGTGCTCCTGCTAAGGAGGAGTTACTTGGTTCCTCTGTAAGAAACTGCTCTACTGTTGTGAAGCTCTGTGCAGTGCAGCAAGCTGTGTAGAGGCAGGGCATTCACAGCTGTGTTTCTCCATTACAGAAACACTACAAAAACCACTTAAGGTCTGGTTTTACGGAGATCATGGGCAGCAAAGAGCTGTTGAAGAGAGTCATTGAAAGTGATCTTAAGCTTTGTGACTGTGGGTAGCAGCCTCTGCTTATGGACTTCTGGCTAGTTTTTATTTAGGATTTCTTTTTCCTCTTTAGCTTTGGTTTCACCTCATTTTGTTTCCCTTCAGGGTGAAAGCACTGTTTGCATATGTTTTAATAATGAATGGTGTGTTTGCCCAAGAAGGGGTTTTCAGTGGAAAGCTTGCTGTGATTGAAGATACTTTTTTTTATTCCCAGTTGCACCTCTTTCTACCTATCAGGCCCCGATGTGATACTTCCTTATGCCCCTCTGCAACCACTTACAAAGTGGGTTTATGCAATGTTCTTCTGAATTTTTTTCAGATATGCTCCAACACTGCACATATAGCTGTATGGAGAGCTTTAATACAGAGGTGACTCGCTGAGCAATCAGCGTGCTTGGAGAAGCACCTACCAAGAACTTCTCTGGTAGAATGCAGATTTGTGCTCTGTATTGGTGATTTAGGGGATGATACTGAACTGCGTTGCATTAATGAAAAAACTCAGAATTACCATAGCTTTGCTAAATTGCCATTTTGTATTTGATTGTAGCAAATGGAAGAGATCAGCTTTTTTTAGATGACATAAAAGTGGGAAGTTTTTTGTGGGAGCCTGTAAATAAATGGAAGCTGGCTTGACTCCAGGGAAATGTTCAGCTCGTAAAGAAGTTTCTGCAGGAATTTAAATCAAGTATTTCATGGCTATGAAGCTGATAGAAACAATAAGAAAGTTCATAAAGGAGGAACGCTCGAAACTGTTTTTCCTAATTTGTAATTTGATGCTTTGAGATGAGGTGTGCACATATGTATGTGCCTTTGGCATCAGAGGGGTTTGTTTCAAAAGTCATAAAAGGAGGAGCCTCAGACAGCTCCTGGGACAGAGGCAACCTCGCATCCCTGAGAGCATGGGTTGTGTGCAGTGGTTTGAGGACAAACATCTCTAAGCACATCTGTGTTCTGCTCCCTATCCTAAGGATGATGAGCAAGGGATGGAAGCAGCAGCTTGGCTGTCTGGTTTAGCAGGTACAGCAGGGGCAGGTTCTGGTGTTGCTGGTGCTTGCTCATGTGAAGGAGTGGGACTTTGCAGTGCAGCAGAGTATCTGCTGACATGCTGTAGCATGGTGCTTTGTCACTTTGTGGCTGCCCAAGATGTGCCTGCTACATCTCTGAGACTCAGGAGATCGGAGCTTACTGACTGTAATGCCTGTGCTCCGTGCTGCCTTGGATGGAGACCTCTTAGCTCAGGCTTCTGGCTGCTTTGATTTTCTGAATGACTACTTGATTTACTTCAGGTTTGTGTGGAGATGGCTTTTAGTCAGTTATGTACTTAATCTCTGCTGTTATTTTAAGGTAATTCTGCCATCCTCTCTGAAGTGCTTGGAGTACTCTTTAGGAGCTTTACCATTCAGTGTTCTCTCTCAGCTCTTCATGCCCATACCACAGCTCCCTGGAGAAGTACTGTGATGCATTATCACTGCATGACAGCTGTGGTGGTGGTGTTTTCCTCCTTCTCAAACACAGAAGGTACTGGGTGAGACGGTTCGTTGGTTTGGCTCAGTGCAGCTGTTTTGAACTGAAAGGGGTATGCTGAACATAAACCAGATGTGATGGTTGCTGGCACTGTAAACCACAGCTCTTTGGAAGGAGCTGCTGTTTGTACTGACATCAGTAGGCATAGGATTTTGATTTTTTTTTTTTTTTTTTTGCTCTCCTTTAGATGTTAGAAAGATTTAAGCAAACAGTGTAAATGAAGCTCCTAAATCTCTGCCTAAGTCTCAAGGCAAAATTAATGAGGTTTAAGAATACAAAGAACTGTATATTTCTTTTTCATCCTTCTGTTTCTTTAGTTCTTAGTCTTCTGAAATAACAAATGCATTTGTTCTTGCTCTCCTGTCTTTCTCATACGCTGTGGACTTGAAGTAGTTTCCTGAGGTCTCAGTTGTGTATTTGTCTCTGCAAGACATTCGTGCACCCATGTAAATCCTTGGTGCTTTCAGAGGGCTTTGTGGTTGCTGGTGTTACACACAGTGCTTGGCAGGCTGGAACTTCACTTTGAAAAGACTATTACAGAATTTAATAATGAAAGTAAGAACGATTTGGACTCTTTTGAGTGATAAATGACTTGTGATTAGTAATGCTGCTTCTTAAAGAGACTATCAAAGCAGTATGATCACCTTTTAAAATGAAAGTGTCAGCTTTAAATTCATAATCAATTATCCTTTTACTTTTTGTAGTGATCTTCTCTGAGGAAGAGAGAGAACAGCTGAGGAAGTTCACAAATAAGTCCTATCTTCTGGATAAAAGAAGTCGTCATCATGTGTATCTTGGTTTAATTGATATCCTTCTGGCATATTGCTATGAAATCTGTGTCAATGAAGGAGACAAAAATGTAAGTAATATAAAAAATAGAATGCACAATACTGCAAATGAGTGAGGAACTCATACCAATCTTGATGCTTTTTGCAAGAGCTTTGTATGATATATGTGGAAAACACATTGTCTTTCTTCGGCTTCTGCTTAACAGGAGAACCAAGACATTGAGGCCACACAAATCTTTACTAGAGCCAGGATTATGGATCTAGGCTTCCTGGCTCTTAGCTGTAATCATCCCACCAGACCACGCTACCACAGAGATATTATGAATCTGTCACCCTTTAAGAATGATGACACTTTGTTTACTGCTGGCTTTAGGATCCTCTCTGAAAGCCAGAAGTCTTGAGCTGTTTTTACAAAGCAAGGCATTTTAGCTTGAGCTGTTTTGATGTATTGGACAGATTTAAGCTTCTGCGCTTGCTAAAAAGGGACAGAATTCCACTAAAATGCTGCACCAATCAAAGAACAGTTGTGTTTTAAAGGCTTTGTGCATGAGCTAGATATTCCCAATATAGAAACCTTTTCACTTAACATCTGCATTGCAATATAATTTTTAATAGTGTCCTGTGACCATTTCAGTGCACGCAATATAATTACTCCTTTACATTCACAAAGGTTCTTAAATTGCTGCCAGAACTTTATCTTAAGTAATTTGCCAGTGGTCTTGAATATGGAATTAGATAATACTTATGTTATGCTCTCTGCTTAAATCAGGTTGAATCATCTTGGAATGTCAGGAAACTGAGTGCAACATTGTGCTGGCTGGAGGTAAGTTTAAAAAATATATTTTGTGCCTTGTATTTGTTTGTGTATTTTTGGCCATGTGTGCATCTCTCTACTTAAGGCTAGAAAATGAGCCTTGTAGCTCCTTGATCAGAAGTTGTAGATCTCTTCCCATTTAGCTGGCTAAAGCAGTGCTGCGTGTTAAGATGGAAAAGGTGTAAAAAGCAGGGGTCCTACAAGGCCTGCTCTGTTGGCAGGCTACAGTTAAGCAGTTTATTGGCCACTTCTGAGAGTTTTGCTGCTGCACTTTTCTTCAGCCTTCTTAGTTCATTGGTCTGTGCTTCTAGCTTGCTCCCCTTGGCTGCAAATGAGGTGGCTTCTGGCATCTCTGTTCCGCTGCTTGGCTTCAGGTTGTGCTGGAGAGCAGCTGAGAAGCCCAGAAGCATCTGCAAACCCAGTGATAGGAGATGTTCTTACAGGGCATAACTTGGCCAGCAGGCCATTACTTCTCATGTGGGCAGCAAGCTATAAGGGCCTGTTCGTCCCTCATCCCTGATATTACCAAGCCAGGTTCTCAGTTTGCAGGAGCAAATGTGAGATTTCTGCCAGGGCATTTGGGTTCAGTCCCACAATCATTTCTAGGAGTGGGAGATGTAACATCTGGTAATAAGAATGCGCTCTGCTGACTGCTGATGTAACAGTGTTCGTTTGTGTAGCTGTGCTCTGCAGTCAGAGTACACTTGAAGTGCAGCGATTCCCCAAACTCCTGAATTTCCTCAGTTCTGTGTCCTAGCACAGAGGATGAGTGCACACAGATCTCCTTCAGTAATGTAGCAGTTCTTGGCGCAGCCTGTGCCAACAGTATACTTCACACCCAGCAAATGCAGTCTCCTGGCACCAAGCTGTTAATATCTATATCTGTTCCACTAACCATGTAGAGGCGGGTGTTTGCATCAATCTGTAAACAAGATTGCCTCACTATGGGCTGTTGGAACTGACTGCCATACACATACACACCTTAGGCTCTAAATATTAAGTAACAAAACAGAAGTGACTGAAGTCCTTATTGGTGATCTGTTAAAATGAAAATTGGGTTGAGGTATGTAGTGATAGAATGCAAAAAAGTGCTCACTGACAACAAAGCATTTTTATTTTAATAAATGGTGAGCTCAAGATGCAGTAAGTATTTTTATTTGAGCTTGTAAAGGGAATATTTTGTCTTTTGAAAATTAAAAGAAACCACTGTCTTAAGAGTGTGTAATAACTCACTAATTTGTCTGGTCTGAGTAAATTAGGAGTCTTCCTCACTTGTAGAGGAGGGCAGTGAGCTGCTTTCCCTGGGCAGATGTTTATCCTGTCTTAAATATCTGTAGTCTTCATGAGGCAGATTCTTGTATCGTTTTTAGAGATCTTATATGTACACATGTATTTTGTTAATATCATGTGGTTTTAATTTTTTCTATATTCTTAAAAGGCTTTTTATAGCTTCCCTTTATATACATAGTAATGTGAGGCAGATGTAATTTATTGCTTTAATTTAAAGAATGGCAAAGGCTTAGGTTAGATGTTTAATGTTCCCTCAATTCTATTTTTAATACAAAACCACCAAAATGTATAGAACTTCTGTTATCTTGCCATGCAATCTAAATGTGAGTATCTTATTCCTATTTTTAGTATGTTGATTTTCAAAGTACAGATTTCAGATGCATAATGCCTAAAACTATGCTTTTTGTTTATTCTGCTATGACTTTTTATCTAAAGAAAAAGTAGTTCTTTGTGTTGAAAGATACACAGACTAATTGAGATTTTTCCACTGACAACAGTGTTTCACTAGCATTCATGATGTCCTGGTATCTTTTGGGAGAAGGGTGGTGTGCTATCCACTGTACAGACATTTTGGATTGGTGACGCGTGCCTTCAGTGATACAGTCATGATACTGCAGCTGGGTAAGTTTGTGTTCTTTAAAAAAAAAAAAAATCTTTGTAATTTTTGGGCCACTTTCACCAGAACTTGATGGCCACCTTCCTAAAAGTTTTCTGTTTTGGGGGTTTGGGAGATAATAAAATTGGTGTACTTACCAGGAAAGAGCCTGTGAAGCCACTTGTTTACTGTGCAGTGGATGCAGTTGTGGTCTGAGTTCGTTCCAGAGAGTTGAAGTGCTATGAATATCAAGCTTTTAGGGCCAGGCTGGATGGGACTTGCAGAAACCTTGTCTAGAGGAGGTGTTCCTGCCTACAGCAGGGGGCTGGAACTAGATGGTCTTGGAAGTCCCTTCCAACCCAAACCATTCTATGATCTCAACCTTGGGAAAAGCTCTGATCAGAGCTAGTATCTTAATTAGATGTAGTCCAGCTGTGTTTTGTGAAGCTTTAGGAGAAAGGTCTTCAATGAAAACTAGAGTGACTATGTTAAGCAGGAAGGAGCTGAGTTTGGCTAGAACTGCAACTCCTCCAATGACAGACCTGTTAAGGCCCATGAATATCATCTAAAATCCTGATTTATGAAGGAAGACTTGTTGAGACTTAGTGTCATAGTCACTAATTTACATTGTTACATGGCAGATGAGTAAATGTAGTGGATGTTGTAAATGATTCAGGCTGGCAGCTTGACAGCTAGAACCAAAAAGTTGAGCAAAATCTTAATTCCACATATAATTTCTTCTTAAAAGAGCGTACTTCACTGTAGTCAAAATAGTTGAGTTTGACAAGCCTGGCTTGACAAGCATTGAAGGTGATAGAATCTCAAGTTCATCACTTATACTTGGGATTCTTTCTTTTGCATTCTATCCTAACTTTACATCAGTTGTTTCTGTTCCAGACCAGTGTTACTATTTCAGTTCTGTTTGCTTTATGCTTTGCAGGTCTTTTCTCTACCCTGCCATCTTGTGTGTCTCTTTTCACTTTCATTCTCTGTCAATATTTTTCAGCCTGGATGTGCTGAACAACAACAACAAAAAAGAAACAAACTTTGTGCTCAGACAGCAGGGGGAGTTCTGATCTCTTTTTTTGTATATATTCTGTAAAATGTAATTTCATCCATGTTGAGGTTTCATAGCCTAGGAGGAGCCTGTCTCTTGGGAGGAGGTTATTAGATTCCATTTGCAGTAGTGGTTATTTTCATTTGAATGTTTTTCTTTTTCCCCTCATTAAGCAGGGAACTTTTTTTTTTAGTGTTCCAGCACTTAACCCCTTAGCAACATTCAAGCTAAGGTAGGTGATTCCAGCTAATTGAGAGTTACATTACTGAGTTCTCTTCACAGTGATTCATTGCCTATAGAGAAGAACTGACTGCAGAAGGGCTTCTGTCTCTGGCATAAGATAATGTTCAAGTTTTTTGTTTTTGAAGTCATTTATCACCTTTATGTTAAGTGGCACTTCTTGGAGCCTGAAATGGATTTTTATTTTTTTTTTCTGGAGGCACAGTTGGCCAAATTACTCTTTCTCTAAAGAGTGGAAGTTATGCTTGATTTAGAACCATGGTTGGATGCTAGCAATGGTGTCACTTACCTTGGCTTATGTGATTGCTGTGGTGCTGGGTACTGCATTGTGCAGTGGCTGTGTTGGCAGCCTTTCCTTTTTTTTTAAGACTGATGTTTGCATACACCAAGTCAAATTATATTTGTTTTTTCAGCAAGGGAATGATGGGGTGTAACTCTGTGAGTTACTTTATAGCCTAATCTGTATGGCTGTGCTGAAGCTTGGGGCAGCACAGTGCAGAGAAGAGGAAAGGGGAGGCTGTAGGAGCAGGCTGCTTCAGCTGTGGAGAAGTACTGGCATGGCTGAGCCTCCAGGCTGGAGTCCTGCAGAAATGCCTGCTGAAGTCAGGCTCTGTGCCCACATGGGTGTGGATGCTGAGGGGCACAGTCATCTGACTGCTGTTCTGAGACTCTGGGTCCACTTCATGTTATGTGGGTGTAGATAGCAAAATTTCTAATGCCTGAGAGGGGAGGAAGATGATTTTTAAAAAACTATCTAATGAAAATCTATTTCTAGGAAGAGCTGCAGTTTTGAAATGTTTGCTGGACGTTCACAGGATTTTTAGGGAGAGTGACCCTGCCTACATCCTTAATGATCTCTTCATTACAGACTATTGCATCTGGATTCAAAGAGTCAAGTAAGTTCTGAAGCTGTTATTGGTGAGGGAAAGGTTTTTAGCATGTTGCATCTATGAACAAGTATCAGTAAAACCAAAGGAAGTGGTGTGTCATAAATGGAAATGTGTTTGGTCCTGACATGTGGCGATGTTGATTATCCATGTATTCTTACAGCATGGGAGAAAACATGAGGGCCTTTTTTATGTAGTGGCATCTAGAGAGGAGTTGTATTTTTACATAAGATATGAATTTTTGTTGATATTGATGGTTTGGGAAAGAAAAGCTTCTGAGAAAATTCGTGTTCAGGTTGAAGTTGTCTTGAAAAATAAATTCAGGAGAAAGTTGTTTAATGCATCTTAAATGAGTTGCAGAGCAGCAGTATCACTGCTACGTGTATCAGTGAATATAATGTCTCGGAAGTCAGCCATAAAAACCAATTTTTTTTTTTAAATACAGCAGAAAATGTATGCTAGATATAAGTGACTGATGCATTAACACATTTACTCCAGACAAATACATTATGTACCAGTTAAGCAGAACTGACAGCTTCTGGAATGAGGGCAATTAAGTTATCTTTTTGTCATAATGACATGGCACAATAGTTGTCTGTCATTAGGAGAACAAGAGAGAAGAGGAACTGTAGAAATCATTGTCTATTTTTAGGATCTGAATTGGGAAAGCATTTAAGCATGTGCTTAAGTCATTCTTGTTCAGTTTATCAGTGAAGCAAACAAGCTTGAAGTCGAGCATGTTCTAAGTGAACAGGGATGTCTTCTTACACATGTTAATGGGACTTTCTTATTCAAAAAATGATTGGTCTGGTGAGAGCAAAGGTTTCATGCTTCCAGTTTCCTAAGGTGAGCAGCACACTGTCCAGGGAAGGAAGCTTATTTCATCCCTCTGGTGATTGCCTCTAGAGGGAAGTTTTGGGAGTGGGACATAATGAAATCTTCATGGTCTTTTGATGAAATTACTTATGTCCATTCAGTCTGGATACTTTGTTTTGTTTCTTAAACTGTTCTTTACCCCATGCAAGCTTCATTAACCTTCTTAGTCTCCATCTTCTCCATTCATATCTTAGTCTCAGGTCACTCTTCAAAGATCTGTGAAGGGCTCCTTTCTTCCCAAAGAGACTGGGGCCTCTTTGCTTATAGTTGAAATGGATTGTGGGTTGTTCTTAAGGGAGAATCTGGGCACTTTATAAACATCTGAAAGCAGTGGTTTTAGCTCACCTGTGTTGGTGGAGAGAACTCTGGGAGACACAGGTTTAGGAACAAAGCTTGTCTCAGGCAAAAAATGTAAAGGGTATGTCAAATGACAGTAAGAGAATAGCCTTATTTAATGGTAAATTAACAGCAATGGAATGCCACTGGTGGTTACTAGCTTTTAAATTCTGGTTTGGGAACAAAACCTTATGGCCAGCAGTCTGCCAATAGCTGATTACAAATTTGGTTTGAGATCATCATTTGGCTGTGGCTTAATTAGATGAATAAGTGAATGTGTCACTGGACTGGCAGAAGATGATTTATTTTAAGCACAGTGTGTCTGGAATTGGAAACAATCAAGCTGCTGAGTAAAAACAAATGCAGGTGGCTGATAATCAATTGGATATGGTGAGTACAGTCTAATTCTTCACGTATTTATCCAGATAAGCTAACTTTATTCAGGTACCTGTTACTAAGAAAAAGAAGATTCCTCAAAGTATTAGTTGAAGAAAGATATGGGCTGGTGAAGTTTCATCCTCTAGTTCGCAGTCTTAAACCTGGTTCTACCTGCTTTTTAGGATCACAGAATCATGGAATTGCAGGGGCTGGAAGCATCTCTTTGAGTTGCTTGTTAAGTTAATATTTTATCTATTGTGTAAAATGCGCTGTAAAATTGTTTTACTGTTTGTTGGGGCTTGTAAAAAGGGAGCCTGTTGCTCAGCCAAATCAGAAGAAAGGGAAGAGTAAATATTAACCTGGGTAACAAAAGCTATGCAAAGACCTATGGAGGCAGCTTGTAGAAAGTCTCAGCAGGTGGTGTCAACATTTATGTTGAAAAGCCAGATGCAACCAGATGGAAAATTGCATCTTTAACCCCTGAGGTCATAATGACATGTCATCACTTCATTTGATCGCCCTGCTAAGTGAGCTTATCATCTGCCCTGCTGTCACTTCTGTTATTACTTTCATTTCCATAATAAAATTAAATTTAATTTGTCTGGTTTGCATGCCTCTTTCTTTCTGTAGGTCTGAGATTTTACAAACCACTTTGATACATATGGTGGCATGTCCAAGGTGAATTTAGAACCAAATGTGTATTGCTAATCTGAGCTTTTCTCCATCTTTTGCACTTCACTCTGGTACATACAGGTCTCTGGTCTCCTACAGGAGATGAAGCAAAAATGATCTTTGAGGAAACCACAGCTGCATATGGGCTGCTGAGAGCAAGGGAATCAAATGCAGGTTTAATGCAGAACTCTTTCCCTTCTGGAGGAGAGTTTTGCCTGTGACCCCTTGCATCCTTTGTAGACGTCAGAGCAGTTTGCCCACTGACTCGTGCTGTGTTCCCTTACATGGCCTGATGTCTTCCTCCAGTGCTTTCTTTGTCCACTGTTCTATGTATGTGCCCTCTTACAGAGTGGCTGTGTGATATCTGCTGGCTGTGCCACAGCCAAGTGCGGGGCTGAGCAGCTTCCTCAGAGTTGCTGTCTAGGCAGGCAGTTAAATGCATGTTCTTCTGTATCCCTTCAGAAGAAAACAATTGAGCCCATGCTAGTTTAAAGTACCCTTCTTTCAATATGTGCTTAGTGTTAGGCATGTACTGCTTCATTACTGGTAACTGTGTGTTTCCTGTACTCAACTGGAGGTGAAACTGCTGGGGCCCCTGGAAATTTTCCAGGAATTACCACACCTATTTGTGCACAGATCTGTAGTTAATGCATCCCCAGATTTAATGGGTATGAGGAATCAAAATTACAGAATGGCCCGGGTTAGAAGGGACCTCAAGGATCATGAATCTCCAACCCCCCTGCCACAGGCAGGGCCGCCAGCTTCCCCAGGAAAGCAGAAGAATAAGGTTTCTGGTCTCATATAATTTATATATCTTTTGTTAGCACTATTTTTCTTTAACTTGCCCCCTCATCTTACTGCAAAATATTAGGAAGTCACTGTTTGTGTTGTGTGTTGTTGTAGTTACAACTTGTATGACAAAGGAGATCTATTATGGTAAGAGAGATGAGCTGCTAAATTACTTCAGCGTATCCCATGGAACTTAGCCTGCCACTTTTTTTATATCTGTATAGAGGCAGCTTTAGGGTATACATACTCGTCACAACTTCATGTTGCAGAGCACATATACTTGCACCTGAAACAAGCATAATCCTGCTAATTTGGGCAGTGTGGGTACAAATGCCATTTCAAACATGGACTGTTTACTTTAGAGTTAAGAGCTGTGATTCCTGGTGGTGTTTGTGCAGTCTCTGTGGAAGCTGATATGTTATTTGAATTAACTAAATAAAATCTAACTCAAGTATTCCTAAACGTGTTAAGCCTGCTTCTTTTGATTTGCAGGTGATACCTACCCTGAAAGGTAGGCTAGCTTCATGGCTCTGTTCTCCTTTTCATCTCTGTTATAGTGGAAGCCTAGTCCTTGTTACAACATAATTACCTAGTCTGAAGCCAGCAGGGAGTTGCTGCTTTATGTGTAGGGTGTGAAGTTCTCTAAGTAAATGTAGGATTAATTACACTCACAGTGTGTCGTCGGGTGATGAGATTGACTGTGATTGTTGAGCCCCCCTTTTCCCTGGGCTGTCTGCATTTCTGTTTTAATCAATACAGTGCAATGCAGGCCTGAAGTTTTAAGGTCTGGCATTGCAAAGGCATCAAGGAACACAGATCTTCCAGGAAGAAATAAGATTGGTGATGTTAGGAGTTTTAGTGCCACCTATCATCTCAGATTTTGAAACAGGAGTAAGGATTTCTATCTCCAGCATTTTAGTTTTAGTCCATTGCATTGGCAAAAGTTTGGCAGTGGGAAGAGTCTTTGTATTTCTTGTGACAGCTTTGTTAGCTCTGCATGAATTTAAGTTTAAAGACTTAAAAGTATTTAAATACCTGGGGGAAAAAAAGCCAAACACTCAAATCCTGGGCTTGGATGTGTAAGGCAGCCTGCTGACACTTCTTCCAAAACCACACTGATAATGGCAGTGGTGCAGATAGCTTGCTGTTGTGCCCATCTGAACACACTGTCCCACTGAATGTTCAGAAGTCTTTCCTCAGTGGAAATATTTGTGCAGCTCTGTCTTATTAATTTACATTGTTCTCTGCGGGGAATCTTTATGTGCAGTATTTTCCTTGCAGCTTGTCATCATATAGGCTCCCTCATACAAGGTGCTTGATTGAAGTGCATGCAGATCATGTGTAGCAGCCTTCCTGAAAAGAACTACTGCAGGCTTTTACTACATTTGGGAAAACATAACATGTAACATATTTAAAATGTGTAGTGAAATATGATCTTTTAGATGATATAATTAGAGTTTTGAGATACATTGCATTTTATTTGTTAGACTGATCACTCATCTGCTAACTTAGGAAATCTGACCCAGTTGTTACTTGTGAAGAAAGCTTTGGGAAGTTAAGTGGAAGCTATTTTGATTGTGGCATTTGTTTTCTATAGTGGTCTGGGCCTTTGTGAAGCACAAAATATTTTAATAGAGAAAAAAAAGCATTTTTTGTCCTTGCTTTTTTTTTTTTTTTTTTTATTTTTTTCTCCGCTACCTTTAGGGATGGTGTTCATTAAATCCTATTCATTCTTTGTGTTACTGCAGTGTTCCTAAGAGTAACTTAGCTGTGACATCCAGCTAAGGACTGTCCTGCCTAATGAGGGGTGCATGGAGTGGATGATGACTGTGAGCATCTATTAGGAAAACACAAAGCTCAGAAAGGAGGATTCAGGAACAAAACTTCCCTAACAGATCTCAGTGATGTACTACCAGCACATTAGTTTATTAAATTTTCTATCTGTGTATGTGTGTGTG